CCCCAAAACCCCAAAACCCCAAAACCCCAAAACCCCGGGAATTGAAGTTCGTGTTGAAAATATGAAAACTAGTGGATGTCTTGTGAGAACTAGGCATTAGTATGGCTTAATGGATAGATAGAAGTGAATCAATCGAAGGAATATCGATTAGGTCTATAGAATGTCAAGAAAACTTTAATAGGTGAGATGGGATTTTTGGTAATTTCAAGCCCATTTAGTATTTTTACAAATAACTTAACTAGTAGTTTTCTCTAATTAATTATTTGGCTAAGATTTTATAAAAATTCACACATTTTACCAAAGCTCACCTAGTGTTGAGATTTGTTAATTGGAAGCAATCTTAAAAACAGAGAACCCAGAATAAATGACAGTTTACTTCCTACTAATAACTTCTTAGAATTATTTATTTGTATCAATAAACATGAATCTATCTTCTCTATCTCTTCCACAACGTCCTTGTGTTCCCTGAATCCTTCCTTTCACAATCCCTGAGGACATTTTCTTAAACGTGAATGTTTGGTACAAATGGCAAATTTCCCACTGTGCATCAAGCTGTTCCTGCTTAATACTACTTGCAAACTCATGAGGCTTGACGATTCTGTCAAATAGATCCTTATTCCTTTGGATTTCAATGTTCTGCTCATAAAATTTATGAAAGTTCTCTCTTTTAATAAGCTTCAAGTCATATTCCTTCGCTAGCTCGACAAACTTTTTGAAGATAACTAAGTATTCAGGAACGTATTCGATAGTGCCATCTGCTCTTTTGTGGCCAACTCCATCTTCCAAATAAAACAGGTATTTTATCCCAAAAGCTTTCTTCTGTGGGAAGTCTCTGTGCATGAATTTTGCACTATAGAATTGGTTCCCAAATGTATATTTATCCTTGTTATCCTTGCTAAGGCCTACAGTTCTCAGTCTCCTTACAAGAACATCTGCATCGAGAGTTGTGCCACAGAAGAGCCCACCAGGAACAAGTCTTGAAGAAACATTACTAAGGAAGGTCCTAGCGGTCGTCTCAGATTCTCAAAGATAATGCATACTCATTTGGCAACTTGCCACATCAAACAGGATCTTCTTGTCGAGATAATTTAGGAAGGAATTTTTCTGATCTCCGACATTATTGACAACGAATATCCCATGGAAAGGAAGTTTGCCACCTCTATTTTTCATTTTCTTAAATCTCTCAGATGCGTTCCTCACAGAGTTATCAGAAAGGTCTACTCCAACGTAATGGAAGACTCTATTTTTGATCCATTTCTGAAGATCTCCTCCTTTTCCTCAGCAGATATCCAACACGCTGAGGTATCTTCCCTTGGTGTAGCATGTCTGATTGATCAGTACACTTTTTACCCAATTATTGAATTTCCTAAGGAACAGGACATTACTCGTCTGCCTGAGAGCATGGAATTCTTCTCTCTGATTCTCATAAAAGTCGCTATGCATTTGAACAGTGGCTTCCATTTGGTACTTTTTAGCTGATTTCCAGTCTCTTTTTCTGATATAATTCACACGATCAGGGAGTAGAGCTTCTGGCTCTGTTTTGAATTCTTCCTTCGACTCTTCCCTAGCATCTAGACCTGGTGTGCTTTTACTCATTTGTTCACGAGGAATCTGTAGGGAAGGAAGAGGGTTTGTGTTGATTTTATTAAACACTTTATTCAAATTCTGCCCAGAGATGCTACTTTGATGTGAAACACTAAGCTGAGCCTATAGAGATTTTAGTATAGATCATTGAAGAGGGTGATGAGCTTGAGGTAAAATAGGAGTGATGTGTAGAAAGGGGTTGTTTTGGCTTACCTTTTGAGGGGTGATATTCATACCCTTGGGGCCTGATAGAGTCAAGAATTTCCCTCCACTGTTATTAGAACCTGCTTGTGAATAAGGTTTCAGATACGCCCCTTTCAAATCTGGCTTAACTCCTGTCAAAGTTGGACTTTCATCAACACTCGAGCCTGACGAGGATGATGAATTATCGTTATCTATACAAAGTTTAAATATCTAAATCCTGATGCCTGTTGCACAATGATTCTGCTCTAAAAATTGGCATACCGTCGTCCATTTATAAAAATATTACAATCTTAAGGCTAACAAAAGGGGTTTTGGGGTTTTGGGGTTTTGGGGTTTTGGGG